CAAATTAGTTCAGCTCACTGATTATGTGACTGAAATTTTATTAAGGGAAAAAAACCTTAGGATTTCAAGATGCCAGTGAGGTGTACTTTGGGTGAAGATTAAATGAGACCTGCTTGATCTAATTTGTTTTAAATTTTATGTAAAAGAGTGAAAAACAGCATCTTATTGACTTTGGGTTGCCATTCAAAAAAACTTCACAAATGTTTTCTCATTTTTTCTCAGTATTGATCCACCTCCCCAAATAAAGACATGGGGTCTATCTGTCATTTAACAAGTTTTATCTCTGTAATAGCATCCCTCTGTCCAAGGCAAGATAATAGCACTATTTCCGTCACTTCAGTTAAGGCTGGGTCAATATTTTCATTAGCAGCCTGCATTTTATGGACTAAAATTGTACCACAGCGAAGGAAATTCATGTAAGGTTAAAATTAAGACAGCAACATCTGAAATCCAGTGGAAAAGAAAGAAAGAAAGTGTGCTCGTTCCTAAGCTTTGAAGAGAGAAGTTAATGATCCTGAGGCCTTTTTGCGTGTATCCTTCAAACCCAGCTCCCCTTCCACAGCTCCTGGCATTTTATAGCTTAGCACTCCATATCCCTCACTGATGATATGTTAGCTGTGAGCGGAAGGTTGTAGAAACTGAATTAGTTTAATTTAAGAAACTAGCTACTATATACGCTCCAGGTCTGATTGCAGTTAGGAATACTTTCTTTTTTGTGTTTAACAAAAATATATTAGTACAGGTATTCGGTGTGGATTGATGTACTGTAGGTTTCTCAGAGTAGTTGTATAAAAGTTGTTCTCTGCCATGTTAGCATTCTCCAATGAACACAATGGGCTGTAAATCTTGTGAATTTATGTATTTGCTTAGTGATTCAGGTTTTAAAGAAGAACATAATCTTCAAGACAGTGTACAAACTTGGGGTAGAGAAGCTGGAGAAATATGAACAGTCCTCTGTGCCTCAAACAGGCAAAATTTCCTTTGACTTCAGCATCTGATTTAAGAAATGATCACGTCATGTGTGGTTTGAGGATTATTATAATTAAGTTTGCAGAATCACATTGTATATGAAGAAGAAAAGTTGTCTTTCTGGGGTGTATCGGTTACCTTAAAAATCTCCATAATATTGTATCCTTCTTTAAATTAGCATGTGTAGGTCAGGGTCACAAATTTTATAATGATCTTCACATTTGAGTTTTTGAAATTAATTTTATATACTAAGAAAGAAAGCAACAGAAAACCACAACCCTTTTATATATTTATCCCCTATCATAGAAAGTTCATATCAATTCATAGGAAAATATGGAGAAAGAAAAGAGAGCTGTTTAGCAAATGCAGCAATCTGTTTAGAGAAAAATTTACAGACATGCTGTAAACAAGTGAAAATACAGACCATTTGAACTGCAAGAGAAGGAACACTTAAGTACAGTGGATTTAATGATCACTTCGATGCTAATGGAAAATTCAGTCCTTGAAATGTTTAAATGTAGTTTATAAAAGTGGTGCTGTTTCTCCAAGCCTCACGTACATATTTTTTTATTCGATCTCCCTCTTTTGGTGGGAGGTGAAGAGTGGGAACACTAACATTTATCTTAACAAAGTTCTTCCCTAACTAAATTCTGAGTGAGCGGAAAAATGAGTAGAACTACATTAGTATTATTTGTCTGTTCTCTGAGGAACAGGGTATCCTCTATATGTCATTTTGGGAGACTGGCCAAAAAGAAGACGCCAGAACTCAAAACAGTCAGGGCTTTGCAACAACATAATAAAATATAACAACAGGATAAAAAAACACCCAGTGAGGAAAACAAAGTCCTGAACTCGTAGGTGATATAATCAGATCTTTGAAAACCCCAGTGTATTTAGTGGAGGATTTATTCTTCGACTCCTGGACCAACCCCAGTTAACTCTTCTGTTACACTCATCAATATTTATGGAGAGCTGCCAACACACAGTCTCATACAAAATACAGGACAAGACATAGTCTCTGTCTTGTCATATCTTTCAAGAAAGAAAGAGATGGAAATTCTGGTATAAATTCCAGTATAAAGAGCAGGTGGTTACAATTTTAAGTACAGGAGAAGTAAATGCAGTCTTGTTTTTCTCCCTGGTTGCTTTACAGAATTATAATTGCGGTTCCCTTGATGATTATTTTTTAAATTTGTTTTTGAAAGTGAGGTATTTGCAACTCTGAAAGGTTGATTTTTATCAAAATTACATTTAAGTTTCAATTTTTCTTCTTTAATATAAAATGATTTGTCCTTGTCTATTTTTTACTTTACTTTTTAATCTTACTCAGCCTTTTCAATCTTATGCTTAATAATTGCTATCCAACATCTCAGCTACATATTTCTTGGTTTAATATATATGTCTTAAATTATTATAACTGGCTACAACTATATACAAACGTTTCAATTTAAAATATCATGATGATTAATAAAGCCTTATAATTACAACTTGCGTAATTAATGGTGTGCAAGTATGAACAGAGCAGATTAATTTGATGCAAGTTGACTGAGGCTTCAAATCTAAAACCAGTTGAGTTATTACTGTGCTGCATCAGCATTTATTGATTTTAAGGTACAGTGTTAGCATTCACTTATCACTGCATATTTTTCCCCATTGTACATTAAAAGAGCTTGCCCTCATCTGTCATGATCTTATACTGCATAAATCATATAAAATGGTTACTTGTTTCCATGATTTATTTCATTTTTATGTTAATTATACTGAAACACAGGATTGTTTAATAAAAATGTTGAAGCTAATCTATATTGGTCATCAATATTTCTTACGCATGTTACACAGTGGAATGTGTGATAAACCACAACTTCCAACATGTATGGAAGGACAGTTAAAGTGAATTAGGATTTAGACTCGCTGGGACCTGAGACACACTTTAATTTTACAGAGGACAAACAGAACCTGGTGTTTACACAGTATTTTTTTTATAAGTTAATAGTGTCTATTAATCATAATCACTAGAAAAATAAAGCACCTCACACCCAGTTTGCACATTTTAGAAACATAAGATATACTTCAGCTTCTCAAAATTACTTTCTAAAGGCAACACTGGCTTCCCATAAAAATGAGACAAATATTAGAAACTTCCCAGTCAAGGTAAGACACTCAGTGGAAACTTGCGCTCTTCCAGAGAGGGTTTTTGTCTGCAGAAGCACAGCAGGATCAGGCTAGGACATATCTGACACTGAGCCTTCAAAGACTTCTACTCATGCACTGCAAGAAGTCCTCTTGAAATCAAAGGCGTTTTGTGAAATCAAAGGCTAGGTCCTGTGCAAATAGTCCTCAGGGCCACTGATGAAATGGACTGCGACAGATTTACTGAGGGTATTTCTCAGGACACATGAAGAAAATTTTTGAAGGATCAGGGCCTTGACTAACGCCTAGGAGATCAGAGCATTTCCTATTTTCCTTTATAACATTGCCATTTTAAATTCAGCTGACTCCAGACACTGTGGGTAAATCGAGGCATACAACGATAACTTAAAAGCAATACACAGATAACATGTAACCCTTTCTTAAGGATGAGGAACACATTTTCAAAAACCAGAGATTTAATATTTTTCTAGTCTGCTATTTCAGGAGCAAGAACAACAAGCAAATTTATTTAGAGTTTATGTAGAGCAAATGTATTTAGGGTTGTGGACGTATGTTACTCTTCAGGAAAAAGATCTCAGAATTGAACATCTCCTTATCTGCCAAATAATTAATGAAAAGTAACTTTATTATCACTACAACTAAACTCTAGGGTGTCATTTTCCTAGAAATTCAAGTTGTTGAGGATTTTAGTATTTGGAAACATTTTTAATCCTGCAGCAAGGATTAAAGACCTGGTAGATATAAAAGGTACAGAATGTGTGTGATAATCTGAAGGTATATTTGGAAATGTTTAAAAAGTTTCTGCAGAAAGTATTATCCTGAAATCAAGAGTTCATCAGATTTTGCACCAGCTTATTGATAAACTTCATTTTCAATTAAATCTCTTGCTATTCAGATCAAACAAGGAGGGGGTTTTTTAGCTAACTTTATGAGTCCTGTAGCATTTAAAATACTTATAAAAACAGTAAATACATTTCATGAATTATTTGCAGCTTTCTTAATGAGATTTAATTTGCCTTCTATTAAAGAAATCTGTAACTCCTCGTTTAACCACAATGAAACCGGTAAGCATGTTTATTATACTCAGAAGCCAATATAATTTAGTTTTATCAGTTTTTGTGTCTGAATTGATATCATTTTCAAAAGCATTCTTTGCTTGCATGTTTCTGGTGTTTAATACTCGTTATTTAATTTATTTATGACAGAGAAAATAAGAACCATTGCAGACTCTGAGCACCATGGAGGTATAATAAAACACAGTCTGTGGCTATTAAATAGAAATAACAAAGAAACAGCAACAGATTATTTAAAATCCAGCCATCCAGCTGAAAAGATAATAAAACTGTGACTCTTACCAACAGAAAAAAAACCCTAAATAACCTAAGAAATCTTTTTTTTCTTTTTTTTTTTTTCTTTTTTTCCGGAAATGGCTTAACTTTTCCCTTTTCATAACATTCTAGGCTTTAAAATATTAACATCTGATGTTTGTTCATGTCTGAGCTTTAAGCAAAACAGTGAGGGAAATAACTGAGCAATAGGCATAAGTGTTTGATTTTTTGAGATTTAAAAAAAAAAAAGGAGTTAGTTGGCCTAAGGCTAGAATTTTCATTACATCAATGAAAGAAAGAAAACAGAAGCAGCAGAGGGGAGTTATAGAAACTGACTTTATATAAACAGTGAGAAAAATCTTTTTCCGTGGCCACCTACAACGTAGCTACTTTACCATCAGTACGACTTTTCTTTTACAAGTGGCACAGCAGCCCGGGCCCAATCCTGCCATTTTAGAACAGGTTACGGTCTGGCCGAGAGGTTAGCCCCTCGCAAGATCAGGCTAACAGTTTGTCAAAGAGAGCAGAAACAAAAAAAAATTTTCCACGTACCTAAATTGACAAAGCTCATTACCATGTCAGCATCATTCAGAAAGTTGGTGTCGTGCAGGCTGGCTAAGGGAGGATTCTGTGTGGTCAGTGGGGTCATGCGAGATAATTGTATTCTCCGTGAATATCCATTTGGAGAGGCAGGGTATCCTTTTCGTATCCCTCTGCTCTCCCCTGCCATTGATCCCTTTAGTGAATACTCCAGCTCCTCAGTATCCTCTTCATTTGTCATGGCATTATACAGGTCCAGCATGAAGAGGGGTGCAGAAGAAGCCTGCTTTCCTGGTGAAAATGGTCTGGGTCTGTGAGGTAAACCCAGGATAGAGAGAATCTCTCTCTGAATCTCCCTTCTCTCATGGTTGCGCAGCCTCCTGTAAATAAAACTCGAATGGACATGATTGTCTCCTAAACCTCCCTGTGCGTGACCCACCAGAACCCAGCAATTCCAGAGCAAGCCCACGAAAGCTTTGAGTGCAGTTAGGTTCATCTTTGAAAAGAAAAAGAACAAGGAAAAAAAAATAAAAAATCTTTTCTCCTACTTGTTCTGAGTTCCTATGAGGTCTGCTTTCCCAGTGGCTGAAAAACAAAATTTACCTATTCTTCATGTCAATGTCATCTCTAAACGTAACATCTTTGGTGATTTCTCTCCCCCCACCCTGTTTAAATATTATGGAATGTGTCAGGTTGCAGTTATTTCTAAGAAAGCTGAAATTCAGACTTCCAATTTTCCACTGTTGTTATCGTTTTTTCTGCATTTATGGAGCAGAAGACCAGTATTTTGTCAGCTGACCTAGGCATTCCTATATAAACCTTAGATAACCAGGTCTTTGGTGGGAGCTGTATTAGCAAGAGCTGTTCTTCTGACACATTGTAGTTCCCAGAGTTATCTTCCCTTGTTATTCTGAGTTCTTCGTACACCTTGCGCTCTTCCCAAGATAAAATCCTGAGTCACAGATTTGTCTTGATCTGTACCTTGGTGGTGTAACACATATTTGTCCAGCAGCCTGGTGATAACTTTGACATCTTTTGAATTGCTTGAGTGTAAAGTAATTCTAAAGCACGTACTAATCAAATTAATGTGTTGCCATGAATTACTCGCAAAAAAACCCCTTCTGTAAATCCATTCAAGCCTTTTCAGCTTCTGAAATGTTATTTCCAACTCTAGCAGGCACAAATATAACAGCTCTTTTCAAGAGAGATCTAAAGACTAATGTAAGCACAACCCTGCTGGGAAAGAAGAGGCTTCTCATTGTAATTTGAAACGGGTATAGCAAAAAAGTCCTTAACCCTTCTCTTACCAGACAGAGTTTAAACCTCCCCCCCTCCCAATTTACAGTAATATATCTAATTTTGGCTATCGGCTGCTTTTTTCCTAACAGCTTGCAGAATCAATTTTAACTTTAACAATTTTAATATATATAGATTGCTAAAGGCATGGCGTAACGTGGAAGCCCTTGTGAGTCTCCTTATGAGTCTATGGTTTAGTAAACTTGAATAGGAAACTCTCATAACAGACTAAAATAGCATCTCATTAGTTCAAGGAACGTTTATATTTTAGGTAAGTTTAGCAAACAAAGGTGACCTTTTTAAAAAACTCTGCAGGAAATTTTGTCGGTGAGGCTTGATTCACTCTTTTCTAAAAATCTTGGGAATGCAATCTGAATGAAAACAAATTTATTCAGCAAGCGAGATTTCAGGTTGTGCACAGCCAATGGTATAATTATGGTTATAGTCACAACTTTCATAAACTGTAATTTGCAATGATAATTTATTCAAAGTACATTTTGATTCATAAATGGTTATACTACATTTCCTGGTAAATATCAAAAGCTAAGATTTAATCCCACAGCCTATTATTAACTGGATAAAGAAACAGCTTAACTGGAGAAATAAGAAGTATTAAATAGATTTTAAAGCTGTTGCCCATGAAGTTAAGGTTCAGCTTAGAATTTTTTGACAGCCAGCAACTGGTGTTTTCCTCTCACTAAAACAAAATCACAGTGTTAAATTTCATATTGCTCGGATTATTGGTGGTCATTTTCCCCACTCCTATAATTGGCCTTTGGTCTTAAGGAGACTTTCCTTTGATGAAGGGGAGAAAAAAAGGAAAAAAATGGTTAATACATGACGTTGAGGAAAAAAACAGGTATAAAAATGCATCCCATTGGGTTTTCCCTTACATGACTAGCACCTACTGAGCAAATCACACAGTTCTTGAGTAAACTTGGGAGTGTGACAGCAAGTATAGTCACACCTTAAGAAGCCAGGAACAATTTATCTAGCATATTAAGCACAAATGAACTTTTCTGATACATTTTGAGTCCTAGTCTATATTTACAGTCTAGTCCAGCTATCATTAAAATATAGCTGATTCTTTCTTATAAATCAGCGCACATAATGCACAATGCTTCTCCCAAGGAAGATTTATTTCATACTAGACCTGCTGAATTAACACTAAAATTAATTATGAAGCTATTTAGCAAAAGTCCTGTTCTTCTCAGCAGAAGACCAGTCAGAATCAGAATAAGTTTTCTCTCCTCATTGAGGTTTTCCCTCAAAATGCATTTGTTATAAGAGAAGTATTATTTCCTGTTTTTGTTTTGCTTTCACTTGTCCTGCTCATGCAGTTGCAATTATACATGAGACTTTACCATACATATGTCTTTTTTTAATTTGGCCATCACGTATCCTGCAACAAGGTTTATTCCTCTTTTCCAGCAATATATTTCCCTTTTTTCCCTAAGCATTCATAAAAGCCAGTGGATTGATTGCTCAGAGGATTTAAGTCCTCAGCCCATCAGTATGTCCAGCAATAGAAACTTCCTACATTATCCCACTAGAGTGTCTGGAGTTCCACATTAGTTAATCTTTTCCCATTTAAAAAGCCAAAAATGCCCTCAAGTTTGAGGATGCTTTTATGTAGTAAACATTTTTCCGGACAGAAACTGAGTAAGAAAACATATAAAATAGTAATCATATGTTTGACAAAACCAGTTCCTGTTATTTTCAGACAGAGCCATAACCAAACATGTAACCTAAATACAAAGGATTTATTTTACATTTAACCTACCCTACACTGAGGCTCCAAGCATCCTTGCCTAGAACACAAAAATAAAAATGTTTTTATATTAATATAAACACAATGTCCTTTTGTAATAAACCTGAGTTCCATAAACAATCCTTGTTAACAAGGATATCTCGTACATGGGAGAGATAAACAGCTCTAAAAATGAAAGCCTTTGCTAAAGAAATGAAAGGGATCTGTAATAGCTGATAGGACCCATTTCATATTTTCAATATGAATCAATTTACTTCTAAAGAAAAAATACCACATACAGTTTCAGTATGTCAGGGTATTTTATTTAAAAATATATAAAAATACATTGGCACAGATATCTGGATGTAGTTTAGGTTCGGGTTCAGTTTCAAAGTCACCTTAAATCTAGGTTTCGAGTTTTACAACAAAAAATTATTCCGAGCTGTTTGCATAATATTGAAACTTAAAAGAAATGCCATGTTCGCACCATTTTTAGATGCACTCAAATCTAAATAACAGTTGAGGTCAGTATAAAGTATTGACCAAAAATCAAAACCAGGGGTTTGAACAAGATGCCCCAGAGATTCCAGTTCTACCCTGCATCTAAAACTGAAATTTTGAAATATAAAACCTACACACAGATAGACCTTCTTTCTTCCCCAGATTCTCAACCTGGAACATAAGAAATCACCTGACCAGCCCTTATCCAGTCCTTTAAAAATAAAAGAAAGACTAAAATGACTCCAGAAGTGAGCTCCCGTTAGGGATAGGTATCTGACAGAGGAGCGTGTAACCAGCAGAGCACCGTGCAGGTACCCCTAGCAGCACAGGATAGGAAGCAGTTGCATGAATTTCTTAAACAATGTGGCATATATGTACGTCACGAGTGAATTCAGAGCTCAGTACGTTTGTACTAACCTAACCAATGTTAGAGCAAATAAGGGTGGTAGTGAAACCCGTGAATCCAGATATCGCCAGTTTCAGATTCCAATGGATCATAACGCTGCAACAGTGAGAAAAATTATAACTACCCAGCAGATCGCTGTCATCACTGAGAGTACAATTGTTTTTATGGGCAATGCCCACTACTCAAAAATATATAAAATCAGTGGATGGCTACTGAATGCAGAACCCCTCTGGGTCCTCGATATCATATCAGCTGAGAGTCATTTCCCACAGCAACGGTTCTCTGTAACTGTCTGACAAAATAGACTAAAATGCAGACCCTTCCCAAGATATTTGCAGACTAAATCTGAAACCTACACACACACACTGAATGATTCTGCTGGCTCTTTCCATCTTAATGACCAGCTAAATTTGGCATTCAGATCAATATTATGCATAAACCGATGATCCAGCATTAAAAATGTGTAAGTCTGTCCTTGTTGGCTCTCTGCAAGGCTATTGCTGCAAAAGGTACAAAGACTTTAATGAAAAGGTTTCATGAAAGCAGGAAAATCATTAGAGGTTAAAACTACAGATTCCCCAGCAAAAAGCAAGCAAGTCATCTTAACTCTTCCTGGGACAGAAACGTTACACAGACACCATAGTTAGGCATATCTGTTGTACTACATTTATTCAACCTGGATTTACAATGGTATGGACCACATGAGGTGTACATTCAATCCTTTGGACATAAGTATGTTTATGTTCATATGTTCCAAATGTACAATCAACAAAACACGTATGACATCTTTCACTCAGGGTTTTTTTATTTTATTTTATCAAGTTGGATGTTGTATGACAATTGTATTCTCACCCTGCAAAAGTAAGAAAGAAACACAAATGTATTTTTCTGTATCAATGAAAGATATGTCTCCTAATGCAAAGGGAATTTCACTTGTAATGGACACAGTGTGAAAACTGGTGGAATTAGCTGCAGAAATAGGCAGCTGAGACATAAATTGAGTATGATATTTGTAAATGTTGCATACTGATATAAACCCCTTTTATCCCAAATAAACTCACAGCGTTTCCTAATTGATAGACAGGAATAATTTCAGATGCAGAAACACTACCATTTTTTTAACAGAAAATTTGTTCAGTGTTATTACTTTATTTAACTTCACGTCAGGATGGAAAGATAGCTGTCCTGAACCACAAAGATAGCTGTGCTCCTCAACCATGGGGAAATTTTAGGATAAACACTGGGGTTTTACCTGCCATCTATACGGTTTACACGTATTCCTGGGGATTGTTAAGCATTCTATAGATACAGTACTTCCATTTTATGCTGCAGGCAGAGCAATGCATTGCAAAATAATACTCGCTATGTAGAAGTGTTCAATACTTAGATTATAGTGCTATTTATTCAGTTACTAACCGGTTTCCTGTAGCAAAAGAGTTTTTCATCCAGGATTTCAAAAGCTTAGGCAAAATCACAAATCAGCCTAGGAGGTAAGTCATCAAGCATTTTATAGATGGCATTTAATAGAAAGCTTTGTTTAAAATTTACAGAAAGACCTCCAGCTTTAAGTATAATCATCTGTGAAGTTTGTTCTATTCATAGTACATACACAATGTTGTAAAGCTATCAGTGCAGAATAGTTTGTAGCATTAAAAATATACTCTTCTTTAACATCAAGAAAATTAAGAAAAATCATTTTGTAATTGGCCTGAAGACTCTTTTTTAAACTTGTTGTGTTCAAGGACTGGAAAAAAAAGAAAAACTTGTTTCACACATATTCTTCAGAATACGTGAACTGCAAAATATACAATTAATAATATGATCCAACATCAGAGTGCTCTCATTTGCACATCTGCATAATTTACAAACCCACAGAGCTCCCAGAAATCCCCTTTGGTTTACAATAAGGCTCTAATTAGTTATTAAAAAAAAAAAAAGAAAGAAAAAAGGAACTGCACTGAGGCAAATACAAAACACTTGGATGAGAGCAACATTTGTAAGTAGCAAAGCATAGCACTTCTTAAGAAGATTATTCTTGGCTCAGCTTGTAGAATGGTTTTATTGTGCCCCAGCTGCAGACTGGTACCTGCTGGTCTCCTTGTTCTGTAGCTGCAGCACGGCCATAAGCATTTTGTGGTATTGCCGACTGGCCCCAGAGCTTTTTCAGGAAACCTCTTCTGCCTCTTGCTGGCGGTCTTTTTGTTTTCAACTACAGATACGTATAGAAATTCATTCCT